CCGGGTATCGTCATGTAAATTCAATTGTGGTGGTCAGTCGAAGTCCCGCCCTCCCCCGCCCACCCCGGCCCTCTAACAAGCTAATTATCACCCGGAAATGAGTGGACCAGCACCGGTACCTAGATGCCTCGTCCGCTGAATGGGCGGGTGGTTGAGTAGCTGGTTGAGTGGCTGGTTGGTTGGTTGAGTGGTTGGTTGAGTGGCTGGTTGGTTGGTTGAGTGGTTGGTTGAGTGGCTGGTTGGTTGGTATGGTGAGTGGTAAGATGGTTGGTTGGTACACGGTGTGATTGGGTGGTAAGACGCTAGGTAGTTGGTTGAAAATGTTCCAATAATTAGGAATTCTACGGTTGTCTGTCTGGGTTGCCCCCTTGGCTGTTGTGGCTGGTATATTTGTTGGTTTGTGGTTGTCTGTATGATTGGAGGCGCCTCAGCGTTTGGTTGGTCGGTGGAAGGTGTCTGTGAGACATGTTGTTTGAGTGATGTTTGCCTCAATAACTGATTAGCAAGTTGGGTGGAATAGTTTAAAAAATAGTTCACGGTTGTTTGGGATGGGTGGTTGGTGGTTCAAAGATTATCCTCTCATCTGAGTGGCAATATAGGTAGCAAGCTGAGCTAGCTGCTAGCAAGGTAGTTTGTCGAACCGGAGGCAGGTCAGCTAATTGGCCGGTTTTCTGTCTGACCGACCAGGTGATTACGAACTTGCTACCTATGCCATTCAAGTGGCTGTTTGGGCTACCTGCCCAGGCAGTAGATATCAAACTAGCCTAACCCATGGACTATATACGACCTGTGAACAAACTAGTACAGTAACCTCTGCTTTGCGGCAACAGGAGTCAAGAGAACTTCCCATTCTTGTCACATTGCCTACACGTTTTCGCTGAAGGGCTGAAAGTGATCTTTGAGAAGGAAGGAAGGAATTATCAGAAGCGCCAAGCCATTGCGACTACATAGCACTGAATCAGGATAATCATTTGAGATGGGACAGAACTCCCTGTGATACTAAAAGAGTGTTCGCTAGTCGCAGGTAAGCGCAGTTGGTGGGTCAGGTAGCGAGGCCAGCTTCCGCAGAGGGTCGCAGGCGGCGTGAGTTGAAAAATGAACGCGGGCTGTCTGACAGCCCGGCAGAACATAGGGCGAAGAGTAATCAAGAGAAATAGAAAGAGTGTGGCGGCGGCGGGCCAGATGCTGACCCAGGAAAGACAAGGAATTAATCGCGCCATCTGACGTCTAACCGGTTCATTCCTCCTCTTTCTACGGAGATAGACGTTGCTTGAACTTCTGTGCGATGGTCTCTGCTCTTAATTAATATACAGTAGTCTATTAGCCATACATTTCAGGCGTTGTATATTTTTATAATGAGTAGTATTATTTCCTTTTGGTTTTTTCTTGGTCGTAATATGACTTTTTTCTATTAATTGTGTCACACACACACACACACACACACACACACACACACACACACACACACACACACACACACACACACACACACACACACACACACACACACACACACACACACACACACACACACATATATATATATATATATAAATTCGGTTGTGTACATGGTCTCATACTGCTCCTCACTACACTGATACACTCTAACAGGTCCTCACGGCCGAACAGACAGCGTTCGGGATTTGCAGCCTGCAAATCCCGAAATCACGGACATAGGCTCTATTCCTGTCAGTGGCAGAAACAAATGGGAACGTTCTTTCACCTGAGAATTAGTCAGCTGTCGCGGGTTGGATCCTAGGGATGTGTGTGTGTGTGTGTGTGTGCGTGAAGAAAATAGAAATATATATGTGGTAGATATAACAGGGAAAACAGATCGGGGGTTAGTATAGTACTGCCCCTTCTACACCTCCTGTTGTCCCTTCTACGCCTCCTGTTGCCCCTTCTACACCTCCTCGTGCCCCTTCTACACCTCCTGTTGTCCCTTCTACACCTCCTACTGTCCCTTCTACACCTCCTACTGTCCCTTCTACACCTCCTACTGTCCCTTCTACACCTCCTACTGCCCCTTCTACACCTCCTACTGCCCCTTCTACACCTCCTACTGTCCCTTCTACACCTCCTACTGTCCCTTCTACACCTCCTACTGCCCCTTCTACACCTCCTTTTGTCCCTTCTACACCTCCTGCCCCTTCTACACCTCCTGTTGTCCCTTCTACACCTCCTGTTGTCCCTTCTACACCTCCTGTTGTCCCTTCTACACCTCCTGTTGTCCCTTCTACACCTCCTGTTGTCCCTTCTACACCTCCTGTTGTCCCTTCTACACCTCCTCGTGCCCCTTCTACACCTCCTGTTGTCCCTTCTACACCTCCTGTTGTCCCTTCTACACCTCCTGTTGTCCCTTCTACACCTCCTGTTGTCCCTTCTACACCTCCTGTTGTCCCTTCTACACCTCCTCGTGCCCCTTCTACACCTCCTACTGCCCCTTCTACACCTCCTTTTGTCCCTTCTACACTTCCTCCTGCCCCTTCTACACCTCCTACTGCCCCTTCTACACCTCCTTTTGTCCCTTCTACACTTCCTCCTGCCCCTTCTACACCTCCTACTGCCCCTTCTACACCTCCTTTTGTCCCTTATACACTTCCTCCTGCCCCTTCTACACCTCCTGTTGTCCCTTCTACACCTCCTGTCCCTCCTACACCTCCTCCTGCAGCTGCTGGTGCGTGGAGTGGTCCTGGGCTGCGGGGCCCCGGCTGGAGGTGTCTGGTGTAGTGCTAGTGACAGGCGGGGCAGCCTCCGACACGGGCAAGAGCGCGCACGCACCATAACTGTGGGTGTAATTACTCACCTTCTGATCGTTACCTTCTGAGAGTCTCTTCCTGCCGTCGTCGACCCGGTCAAGCTGCTGTTCCTGCCGCCTCTTCTTGTAGATCTTGCCGCGAGGCGCCTCGTCAAAGGGAGACGGCGAGGGGGCAAGGCTCTCCACGGCCCTGGCGCAGAGAGGCTGGCTCCGGATCGAGGTATCGCGCGCGGCCTCGTGTTGCGGGATTTGAGGCAGACGAAATGGGTTTAAAAGTGGACGGTTTGGGCAGGGAAGAGGTTCAGGTAGTGTGTATCCACGCCGCCGCCCCTGGCTATGACCAGGCGCTACCCATCTACTCTATGGTGCACTGCTCCTTGTTCGTGCACTGCTCTCACTATCTCAACACAGCCAGCAGTGCCTCACACGCCGGCTACACCACACTAACTATACCTCTACTGAAATTGAACCTGAAATATTCTATTCGTAAATGTTCACTTTGTACATGTATAGTTGGGTTAGTTTACACAAATTTACAGTAAGTTATTTAGCTAAGAGAATGTCATAATAATAACAAAACATGTCATATCTCTAATTATAAACTGTATTCTCAAGATTTAGATTTAGAAGCGACGTTTATCAGTGATCTGAAAATCATTACAGATGTCAAATTCAGAATGAGAAATTATTTCCGTAATAAATTTTACAATACGTTACACTAATGGTTGAACTAAACAAGTGAACATCAGTCTACATCTTATCTTCTTGAGGGTTATCTTGAAATGATTTCGGGGCTTAGCGTCCCCGCGGCCCGGTCCTCGACCAGGCCTCCTTTTTGTTACACATCCCCAGGAAGCAGTCCGTAGCAGCTGTTCTAACTCCCAGCTACCTATTTACTGTTAGGTGAACAGGGGTATAAGGGTGAAAGAAACTCTGCCTATTTGTTTCCGCCTCCACCGGGAATCGAACCCGGAACCTCAGGACTACGAATCCGAAGCGCTGTCCACTCAGCAGTCATTACGCCATGGATGGTGTCCTCAAACTTAACATTTTGTCTTAAAGTGAGTAACATTTTAGCTTACAATTTTGAAAGTTGCTATACATTAGAAAAATAAAATCTGGTTTTAACTTGTAGATCTCTAATTGACACAAAACAAATTACAAGCGGGCGCGTTGAGGAAATAATTTTCCCCCAGATGCTTTTTTGAATCTTTACATGAAACATGAAACGAATCCTGTGAATTAAAGAGAACTGCAGCACATTTGACAGGATTCAACATTTGATTGTATTCTGTATTATATCTTTCACATATCAAGATTGCCAAAGCATCTATGGCAGGTGCGAGTTGAACTAAACCGTCAACATTACAGACAATATTGACCTTAATACTATCTATACGACAGTCAACTTGACTGGTTCTAAATTTTTCAACAATGGGTCAAGATAGCAAACTGCACCTTGTTTGACCCCATTTTGTTGTGAAAAATAATCAGAGAGGAAATTACTCCATTTCACAGTTAATTTGCATTTCTGATATATAGATATTGAGCGATGACAGGACATATGTTTCTGCTAAGCAGTTCTCTAAAAGGTTTGGCGTGTTCAACTTTGTCAAAAGCTTTGGAATCATCAAGAAACAGGGAGAGAGCAAAGCCATCTTGTGAGCTGCAGTACTGAATATGCAGACGAGGAGTCACAATAACGTGGCTGAAATATGTTGACCAAATCACACACTAGAAAGTGAAGGGACGACGACGTTTCGGTCCGTCCTGGACCATTCTCACAATCGACTTGAGAATGGTCCAGGACGGACCGAAACGTCGTCTTCCCTTCACTTTCTAGTGTGTTTTTTGGGTCAACAGTACTGAATAGTTTCCGCCACCACGAAACTGTATAGAGTTGTTTAGTAACCAGTTTCGTATGCAAACTGAAAGTCAGAGGTGTCTAATTCGTCAGCTAGAAAGTCATTGAATGTATAATCAAATATTTTATGTAATAGTATAATTAGGGCAATAGCTCTATAATTATCAGAAAAGGACATACAACAAGCTAGGCAGTTTTTTTTTTTGAAAGAAAATAAGTACTGAGGTGTTTATTATTGGAGAGAAAGCCTCTAAGACACATACAGTAACCCAATACACTAACAAAATCTTACCATACACTCACAAACACAACCATCCTACTATCTCCCTCCAGTCATAATAACGACTGTATTCCTCCAACCATCCATGGCGATTGGCTTCACCGACTATCCATGGCGTCTGCCTCACTCCAAACATTCATGGCGTCTGCCTCACTCCAAACATCCATGGCGTCTGGCTCCCTCCAAACATTCATGGCGTCTGCCTCACTCCAAACATCCAAGGCGTCTGGCTCCCTCCAAACATCCAAGGCGTCTGCCTCACTCCAAACATCCAAGGCGTCTGGCTCCCTCCAAACATCCAAGGCGTCTGGCTCCCTCCAAACATCCAAGGCGTCTGGCTCCCTCCAAACATCCAAGGCGTCTGGCTCCCTCCAAACATTCATGGCGTCTGCCTCACTCCAAACATCCAAGGCGTCTGGCTCCCTCCAAACATCCATGGCGTCTGGCTCCGTCCAAACATTCATGGCGTCTGGCTCCCTCCAAACATCCAAGGCGTCTGGCTCCCTCCAAACATCCAAGGCGTCTGGCTCCCTCCAAACATTCATGGCGTCTGCCTCACTCCAAACATCCAAGGCGTCTGGCTCCCTCCAAACATCCATGGCGTCTGGCTCCGTCCAAACATTCATGGCGTCTGGCTCCCTCCAAACATCCAAGGCGTCTGGCTCCCTCCAAACATCCAAGGCGTCTGGCTCCCTCCAAACATCCAAGGCGTCTGGCTCCCTCCAAACATCCATGGCGTCTGCCTCACTCCAAACATCCATGGCGTCTGGCTCCCTCCAAACATTCATGGCGTCTGGCTCCCTCCAAACATTCATGGCGTCTGGCTCCCTCCAAACATCCAAGGCGTCTGGCTCCCTCCAAACATCCAAGGCGTCTGGCTCCCATCTCATCTAATTTGATGATCACAAGACCGTGGCATAGATGAGTTGTCACCGTGCCATGGGTCTGCCTCGGGTGCCAAGTGGGCTGAATGGGAGGTCTGGTTAACTCATCATTTGATGATGCTTAAGGTGTGGGCTTTGCTCTCGTTCTCAGGGATGATGCTTAAGGTGTGGGCTTTGCTCTCGTTCTCAGGGATGTCAAAAATGGGAGATGAGTTCGAGTTTGAGCTATTTTTTTCCGCTCCTAATAGACCCAAAGACCCACAGGTGCCTGGATTTGTTTTTTTCCTAACAGAAATCTTCCTTAGCAGGCACTTGGTCTCACCTGTTTCAAGGGATAATCGCTCTTAAAGTGTTTGGGAGAGCAAACATCCAAACATCCATGGCGTCTGCCTCACTCCAAACATCCATGGCGTCTGGCTCCCTCCAAACATTCATGGCGTCTGCCTCACTCCAAACATCCAAGGCGTCTGGCTCCCTCCAAACATCCATGGCGTCTGGCTCCCTCCAAACATCCACGAAGACATGTTCAGAGCCAATAAAGGGCTCACTATCCCTCCCACGAGACATTAAATCTGGACTTAAATATTTTAAGGCTGAGCTATAATGCCAGTCAGGTCGAGGTAGGAGCCACGGAAGGAGTGGCTCTGAGGGCCATCAGTGCCAACTTCTCAACCATTAGGATGAAGGATCGGGGCCTCTGGTGGCCAGTTTGGGCACGGCTGGATAACACACTCATCACCCCTCTGCAATGTTCAAAGTTTTAATTACCTAATTTATCTATTCAACAGAATAGTTCCAAGTAGCACGGGCTATGGTGAGCCCGTAGTGGACTTACCTGGCACAGGAGCGGGGTAAGTAGCACGGGCTATGGTGAACTCGTAGTGGACTTACCTGGCACAGGAGTGGGGCAAGTAGCGCGGGCTATGGTGAGCCCGTAGTGGACTTACCTGGCACAGGAGCGGGGCTGTAACTTAAGTCGATAGGTCTTAGGCCCAACAGATAGTTCGTTTAAACTATCTTCTCAAAATTGCATTTTTTTATAATATGTTGTATTTTTCTTACTAAATCTTCTGTAATATATTTTAAATTGTTATTAATTCACGAATTATAGTTCTCCGGTGAGTGTTAATTCATTACGTGTTGTAAATAAAATATTATAGCCATTTATATTAATAGACGCGTCCAAGTGGTTGGGCACCATTCCTTTCCCCCGTCCCTTCCCAAATTCTTATCGCTTCTCAGTGCTATATAGTCGTAATGGCTTGGCGCTTCTCCTGATAGTTCCCGACCCCCCTTGTTTAATACACAGATTCATGTTTTATACACGACTATTATTCAGAAATACATAACGAATTTGAAGTGAAACGATATAAGGTCAAAAGAAATGATTCAAATACGTTAATCTATTTGTGTGAAGACTTATTTTAACTTATTTTATTATAAGTTAAATCAGGAAAACTAATAATATGTAATAGTTTAATAAAATTTCAGCAGCTGAAACAAGCTGAAAATTTCCGTAAATATTTTTGTTTAGCATTAGGCTTAAAGCCTATCAACCTATGGAGGGTTGAGGCCTCCACAATTGCTCCCTTGACTAATCAGCGAGTATACTTTAGCCCTGAGAAGGAACTTGTACGTCTGCTGCTAGTATTATGATATATTATATAATAAGGGGTGATAGGAGAGGAAAAGATTAAAGTGTTCAGTGAGAATCCACAAGGTCTTCTCTAAACACACTTTATTTTCTTCTTCGAGGATGTGGGTCCCTTCAATTGGGGTACCACCACTGGTTGGTACCAGTGGTGGTACCCCTAAATTAAACAGATATTATGATCTGTGTCTCTGATCTTAATATCTATATCCCTGTTTCCTAGTTGCTGTACCTCTGTTTCTAGTTGCTATGCCACTGCTCCTAGAAGCAATGTCTCTGTTCTTAATAGCTGTGTGACATTTTGTTTCTTTTCAAAATGCATGCTTGTATCACACATATATAAATATTGTAAATGTAAGTGTTGAGATGACATTAAGGAGCTGTCAGATGCCCCAAGACGACCTGAGGGAGAGGGGGGGGGTCCCCTGGCTGACCTAACTAACTAGCAGTCTTCAAGAGGGGCAGAAGGCGGGATAATCTTGCAAGACAACCACCTAATTGAAAGATGATTTATTATGAAATAAATTAAACAAGGTATAATTTGATGCTGCTTAGATTTCATAGTTTGTTTAAGGGGGATTTCCAAACACGGCGGGGACACGACACGGACGTGATCAAACTGCACTTCTCGAGAGAGAGAGAGAGAGAGAGAGAGAGAGAGAGAGAGAGAGAGAGAGAGAGAGAGAGAGAGAGAGAGAGAGAGAGAGAGAGAGAGAGACAGACAGACAGACAGACAGACAGACAGACAGACAGACAGACAGAGAGCCTTGCTAGTGTCACCTCTGTTGGCGATGGTCCGCGCCTTCCGTCCTGACTGGCCGCTTCCCTACACGAAGTCCCATAGTACTGATAACCCATGATACTTCATTTAATTTCTTTATTATGCATATACCCATCGCGGGGGGCATTGTGGAAAGGGGGTTTACAGGGGCACATAATAGGTCCAGGAACTAAAACCCAGTTTATTTTTTGATGATCACAAGACCGTGGCATGGATGAGTTGTCACCGTGCCATGGGTCTGCCTCGGGTGCCAAGTGGGCTGAATGGGAGGTCTGGTTAACTCATCATTTGATGATGCTTAAGGTGTGGGCTTTGCTCTCGTTCTCAGTGATGTCAAAAATGGGAGATGAGTTCGAGTTTGAGCTATTTTTTTCCGCTCCTAATAGACCCAAAGACCCACAGGTGCCTGGATTTGGGGTTTCCTAACAGAAATCTTCCTTAGCAGGCACTTGGTCTCACCTGTTTCAAGGGATAATCGCTCTTAAAGTGTGTGGGAGAGCAAACACTTTACCATACATTAGAAAGTCATTCAAAAAACGAAATGTGTTGATTATTACTTGTGGGATGATGGAGACTTAGTTTTTTTCATTGGGGGGTCTGTGAATAATTCTGGGGAGTCTGTATGATTATTTCTGGGGAGTCTCTGTGATTATTTCTGGGGAGTCTTTGTGATTATTTCTGGGGAGTCTTTGTGATTATTTCTGGGGAGTCTCTGTGATTATTTCTGGGGAGTCTCTGTGATTATTTCTGGGGAGTCTCTGTGATTATTTCTGGGGAGTCTCTGTGATTATTTCTGGGGAGTCTCTGTGATTATTTCTGGGGAGTCTCTGTGATTATTTTATCTATGTTTCTAAACTTCTCGTGGAGATGAATACGGTCACTTGTCTACACACCAACTCCAAGAAATGTTACATTGAATCATGTAGCCTGATCAAGCAGTCTGCCTTCTACTCCTTGCCCTCCACAACCTGCCCTCCACAACCTGCCCTCCACAACCTGCCCTCCACAACCTGCCCTCCACAACCTGCCCTCCACAACGCTGCACTTTCACAATTTGCACAACATTTACACAACTTAATTTTGAAGTCAGCAAACTGAATGTCAGACTCCTAACGAGTAAATTACGACGAGAAATGTCCGAGTACGGTAGTGGAATTGTTTATACTGCGTTAACAAGTTTGAGTAGCGAAACCCCCGTGCCATGTATTCTGTATCATTTACAAGCAGTGGCGCGCCCCGGCTGTGCTGTTATTTACAGCTTAAGTAAAGGGGGAGTGGGGGGGGGGGAGGAAGAAACACAGAGATGCACCCCCAATTTCTGTGTTCAGACACTTGAGTTTATTTTTGTCCTGGACTCTGTTCAGGACTAAAGAATAATTGGCAGTTGATGGAGCGTTAAAGAGGTGAGATTCGAACGCAGGAAGTGAGCGAAGCAATGTTCGAACAAAATATGAAAGGCATCAGCTGTAAATTGTGTGTGTAAATTATTTTTCAGGCATAGACAGGAGTGGGTAGCAGATTGACAAGCATTCAGTCAATCTTTACGAGGATAGGATGAATTATTTCCATTAAATTTACGTTGCTGAAATATATAAAGCAACCCGTCCTCGACTCAAGTCCATTCCATCCAGCAGTTGACCCCACAGACGCATTCATAAATCTTTACATGCTGTTCATTCAAAACGGGAATTTTCTCAAGTATAAATTAATATTATAATATATGATCATATTGTGCATATATAGACATAGGTTAGGTTACGTTAGGTGTTTAGACTCTGTTGGCGATTATTTGTATTTGAAGTACGTGGGTGAAGCATTTACAGCGTTGTGGTTCGAACAGAGGACGCCAGTGAAGCGTTGCCCGAGAAATATTCGAACGTGATCAGCTGTGAGTCGTGTGTGTAATCAATTTTACATTCATAAACAGGGAGTTTTGGCGGCTGGATTAGCGAGTATTTGACCTTTGTTAACAAGGACGGACTGCTGCATCAACGAGCATAGCCCGAGGATTGTTTGGAGGAAGCACCACTTGGCTTCGAATGGGTTGACGAACGAGTTCACTCGAAGCTCGAATGTAAGAACATTCAAGCCTTTTACCTGCGCGGGTGAGGTGATCAAGTCACTTGTTGTGACTGCACTGTGATGAGTGTTACGGGGACATGGTGACCGTAACTAAGTAATTCTCCTGCCACTGTCGTGTAGGAGAAGCAAGTGTTGAGTTACAGTGACTGAGTGTTAAGTCACAGTGAGTTACAGTGACTGAGTGTTAAGTCACAGTGAGTTACAGTGACAGAGTGATGAGTTACAGGGACTGAGTGCTGTAAGAATGAACTGACAGGTGTATACACACACACACACACACACACACACACACACACACCGAGCAGTGTACAACCCCCCTTCTTCCTGCTTATTAGTGTATACCCTTGAAAGTTTACTCAAATA